CGGCCCCCCGCGGGGCCCAGGCGGAAGTGGAAGACGCGCAGCGCCGGGTCGAACAGCTTGGCCGTCTCCCACGGCGTCGGCGCCGCCCGCGACGCGCTGCGGCGACACGAGCGACGGTCACCGGCGGGCTCGGCGGGGCCGGGCTCCGGCGGGAGGGAGGCTCACTCACACGGCGAAGGGGAAGCAGTCGTCGCGCGACGCGGCGGCCGTCAGGTTCAGCGGCACGCGGCGCCTCGGGAAGACGGCGTGGAAGGTGGGCTCGCCGGCGGCGTCCAGCGCGCCCAGCGCCCACACGACGTCCGTGATGGCCTCCGTGCTCCACGGCAGGTCCATGGACTCCACTGCAACGGGTCGGGTGTCACCGCGGCCGCCCGTCGGCGGGCAGCGGGCGGCGGCGGCGCACCACTTACCGGGCTGCAGCTCGCGGCGGTAGGTCACGACGGTGAGGCCGGCCTCGCGGCTGGCCGAGAACACCTGGTTGGAGTCCAGGCCGCCCAGCAGGTCGTCGCGGCACACGCCGCGCCACGCGCCCAGCACCTGCACGCACTGTCCGCCGCGGGTGAGTCGCGGCCGCGCGGGGCGGGGCGGGGCGGGGCGGGGAGGGCGGGGCACTCACCGGCGCCAGCGCCGTGACGTTGTAGTCGGTGGCGAAGCCGCGCTGCAGCCGCGCATCGAAGCGCGCCACGGCCACGTCCGCGCCCAGCATCTGCGCGCGCCCCGCCGCGCCCGACACGCCGAACGCCATGTAGTCGTCCGCGCCGATCTGCCGACAGCCGGGAGTGAGCGGCGGCCCGCGAGTCCGCGCGACGGGCGCGTCGTCGCGGTACCTGGCCGGCGAGCTGCACGGTGATCTGGTTGCCGAACACCTCCCACGAGACCTGGAAGTCGCGGTGCAGCTGGCGGCAGCGCGGCAGCGAGCTCCTGCGGGGCGAACGGCGGTCAGAGGCCGGGCGCCCTGGGCCGCGGCGGGCCGGGGCGGGGCGGGGCGGGCGCACCTGAAGGGGTGCAGCTTGGAGAGCGCGGGCGGCACGTTGAGCGCGTCGGGCAGCAGCACGCTGGCCAGCGCGCGCTGCGCCGCCACGTCGTACAGCGCCAGCCAGTCCAGCTGCGCCAGCGCCAGCCCGCCCGGCAGCCGCAGGCGCACGTCCTCGCCGGCGTAGGCGCGCAGCGGCTCCAGGCTGCGGGCACAGCGTCAGTCGCGACTCGGGCGGAGGGCGGCTCGGGTCCGAGGGCGGGCACTCACTATCCGTCCTCGTCGGGCAGCTTGCGTCCGCGCGACGAGGGCTGCGGCCCCACGCCCGTCCAGAAGTACACCTCCTCGCCGCTGCCGTCGTAGCGCAGCTCCGGGATGCTGCCGACGAACGGCCGTTAGTACGCGGGAGGACCCCACCCTTCGCGCTGACAGTGCGACGCGGCCACTCACAGGATGGTGTTGGCGTCCAGGATCTTGACGGGCTGGCTGGACACGTGCGGCGGCGCCGCCAGTGGCGCCAGCGTCATCGGCGCCGGTGCCTCGAACTCGTCCGGAACGTACACGTCACCGAAGGCATTCTGTAAAACGAATGAACGCATCGCGAGATGACTACTATTACCGCGTCAATGGCTTCACTCTTATGTCGCGGCGGAAAGGGTGCGACGTCTTCCGGCATTTCGTAGCAGATGTCTGTATTCACCTGGGTGCCGATGTCGTAGATGGCGAACCACTTGATGCGCGAGATGCGCTTGCCCTCTGGCAACGTCAGTCGAATCTCGTCGTTGTAATACCGCTCCAGAATATTCGTCCTACGAATTCATGAAAACATAACCACAAAATAAAAAGCACACTTGAAACTTATTAACATATGCGACCTATCTCCCACTTACAATAGGAACCATCGATTTGTGGACATTTATGTTATCACTGACAACCAAATGAGAAAACACATATATTAAAAATAGCAATTTCTTTCATCTACAATTTAATTATGTAATATTCTAAATAGTTGTATTACGTTATAGAAATAACTGTATTTGTTAAGTTCTATGATATATTATAATTCTATTATAGAATTTAGAGCTGTAATAATAATAAAAAATAGGCTTATTTTTGCAAGTATTAACAAACCTCATTTTAAAATAATATCTACAAAAATATAAAATATTTGAGATAATTATTAATATAAGGATCTATCACAGAAAAAAGTCATTCAATCCAGCTGGATTCAAACCATTTGAGATATTTGTAAATTTTATTTCTTTACAAGTTTCAATTAACATCTCCCTTCTAAAATTTTTTTTTTTAAATCTATGCAATTGCTGTCTTCATATTGATTGCCAAAATTTTTTTATAAACAAATTAAATTTTTTTATAGATTTTCAACAAAAAATAATACAAATAATATTTTTTTATAATGTACATACATTTAAATCCAATAGAGGAAACCAGTTAGGAGGTGTCAAGAACGCCCTAGTCTACATAAATTGATGATTTTCTTTTTCAAATGTTTAACTGAATTATGATATGAAAGAACAATTAAAATATGTTAATTTTTATATATGAATTTCATCCATGTCAGGTTCAGGAAGCAGCCACCCTAATAATAATAATATTATAAGCTCAATTCATTCTTCTTTCATTTGACAATATTTTCTTTTAGCCTAGAAACACAATAAATTTATATTGTGAATATTTGCTAATCAAGCTTCATAAACTCACTGTCCCTCAATGCTCAATTGCCCATTAAGCTGCCTATTAAAAATTTTAGCAATTAATTAAGTATGGCAGTAACCAGTTTTCTTAATATCCTGTCAAATTCATAATAGACTGAGATATGGGAACATTATTTTCATATTATGTCATGAACAAAATATTTTACCTTTGCTTCAATAGTTAACTTATGCACCAAGGTCCCTTATTATATTTCTATTTGTGAGGATCTGCAATTGGCTTATATATCAAGTTATTATAATTTAATTTTAAGCAGTTGGTCTTTCTTTTAGATAAATAAATATATCTGTTGACTGGCAGCCCAGCACAGTTGTGTTAGAGAGGGAAGGAAGTTAAAATAATAAGATAAAAAAATGTTTTTTATCTATCCTATGGTCTAAGAACATGCAACAAGTAAGACACAAAATTAACAAGTTACTGACTTGCCATTCTGGTCAGGCACAATGAATCCTTGGGGACCCGGCCTTCCGGAATCTCCAGCCCAGAAGAAAGTGTCGTCGCCCGTCCCGTCGTAGTTGAAGTCCACCAGCAGCAGCGTCCACTCATCCACTGCATATACGTCGCCAGACACCTGTAATTTCAAATATCAAAGATTGCATGACTTGTCAGTTTAAAATTTTGTATATTCAGTGATGATAATATGTAAATATATCGCTAATTTAATTGTTTGCTGACTTGATGATACATAATAATAAATACAGATTTATTGACGTATAGACTCAATTTTGTACCTGATGATGGTAAGAGTTAAGTTTCCCGATGAACTTGCCGCGGTAGGGGCCCTCGTCATCCTGCGACGAGCAATCTGAAACCGAAAACTTGACCTTATCCTGTGTTCTCAATAGTTAAACAATGCAATGCCAAGAGAAAGTTCTCAAGGCGTTCGCATTGCCACACATTACACTTGCTTTCCTGGAACCATACCTTGCGCAATCAGTGCCAATATCAGAAACCATAGTTGTAACATTTTGATACACATTAATTCTAAACTTAGAAACTAGTTTTATTTAACTTTTTAATAAATTATCGTTAAAACATTTGTGAAAGTTTCGCAAAACTTTATTCAACTTAACTTCCCTCCGGGGACTATGGTTTATCAATGTCAACCAGACAGATTTAGACTTTTTTTGTAAGATTTTTAGCTTGGATACAAGTCCTTTGAGCTACGTCGTCAATATTTTTTCTCATACTTAAAAAACTACTGACGTAAATGCTATCTATAGCTCGTTTAATAAAAAAGGAGTTTTTAACCAATTAAAATTTTGTAGCAGTAACTTATAATAACATGTATACACAAGGACGTCTGCTGCTGCTTAAGCGCACCCATTTACAGACAAATATGTTAGTTAACTGTGTTGGCCATGTTTCTAAGTCAACAAGTCCACAATAATTATGTTGGAACATTTTCGCTAATGAATATGGCATTCTAAGGGTCGTATTCTAGAACTCTACTCAATGCTCAAGTCAGGATTTGAGTATGGTTTAAAGCACTCGAAATCATACTCAAATCCCTGCCATTATGGTCGTATTTCCAGTGCTTGAAGTCATACTCAGATCCTGACTTGAGCATTGAGTAGAGTTCTGGAATACGACTCTTAGGGTCGTATCCAGAACTCTAGTCGATGCTCAAGTCAGGACTTGAGTATGATTTCAAGCACTGGAAATGCGACTCTAATGGCAAGGACTAGTGCTTTAAATCATACTCAAGCCCTGATTTGAGCATTGAGTCGAGTTCTGGAATAAGTCCCTAAGTTTAAATAAATAGTTTCGGAAGGGTTAAAAAAACTAAAAGGAATAAAGGCATTAACATACTATGCTGTATCGACAAGTGAACATAAATGGCGCTGATGTTCACAGAAAAAGTGACAGTTTGTATAGTTTAGCATGTGGCTAAGTGTGATCACTTAGCAAGATATTATATATATTAAAAAAGTACATGCTATTAAAAAAATAAAAGTTCTAAGAAGACAGAGAGAGAGAAAGAGAAAAATATAAATAAAATTTTGTACTTAATACAATAAAAACAAGGGCATACTCTTTGGGATTTGTACTGTTACTTTAACACGCTTAAACAAAGCTGGAGTATTGTTAAAAATATTATCTCGATAAGTTAATTAGTGCATTTTTTTCATTCGGTTCGGTCACTACATCTCTGGAAAAAGATTATAGTTATCTGAAGTATTTGTCTTGATATACTTTATATTTTCGTCAAACATTATTAATTAAACAGTAATATAACCGGGCAAATATGTTAGCCAACATATCACCAGTATTTTTAACACAAAATGTATCATGTCGGTATGTCGACTAACATGCAATCGCTGTGGATATATTGGTAAGTGAATGGGCAACCGTTACAGTTTTTAAAATGTGATTTATTGGCAACATTGTCATCGCCCGCTCGTCTGTTGCGGGAAAAAATTAATTAAGAGTTTGTATTTCAAATTGTAACAAACTGTTGTTCAATACATTGTTATTCCGTTTCGTTTATATTTATTTATAAGAAGGTACTTTATGTATTAAGGTAGAAATTGGTAGATTTAGAATATTAAATTTAATGGCAACTGTATCAAAATATTACACAAAACTGTTTTCACAAAAAAATACTTAACAATCCCTGACAGTTTACTTGTATCTTCTCAAGGATGGAAAAAAATAAAGGAAAGGAGCTGCCCGATCTACGGAATAAACGTACGTACCTAAACCAAAATTGTACGCCACATAATTGTGGCGGATTTCTTCCGGAGAGACAAGTTCATAAAATATTTAACAACATTGTTGAAGTAATGATATCTCGTTTATTTAGCAGATACTTAAGGAAAAGATTGCCTTGCTATGATAGCTTGTTTAGTTTTCCAGAAATGTATGTTACCTTAAATTTATCGTATCGTAAAACATTTGGTTGAATATTATCTGAATCCTTATGATTGCAGATTCTTCGTGAGTCATTATAATGATCTGTAACTTATAAACGTTATTTGTTTCACAATAATCCTTGAGCCAATCAATGACATTTGGAATATGAGCGAGCAGTTGTTCAGTTGGCGGTACGAAATTGTAATATGCCTATTTATAGGTACTTTTGAGAATTCTGCCGTCCGCTACAAAATAATTTCTTGAGACATCATAAAAAACCATAACCCAGTTTTGGAATATTGAACGGGCACTCGTGACGGCCGTCTACAGCCGGTCCCGGTATATTTATAGTATGTACGCATTAGACATCGCGGCGTGTGATGGCTGTGAGTGAAGAGGCGAGCGGAGGTTTGACCACCGGCGGCTGCAACGGCGGCGGTGGAGGTCGCGAGTGGCGCAATCGGATCGTGAGCGATTCGACACATGCCACTTACTCGAGAGCAATTAACTAAACGTTTCACGCAAGTTTCGTAATGTTATCCCTAAATCATTTGCGATGAGTATTTCGGTCTGCGGTCGTCGGCGGGTCGGGCGGGGCAGGGGGAGGTGTTGAGGTCGCCGCGCTTCGATACACTTTCACTCGCCGCTTGCCTTTGCGCTGCACCAGCTCCGCTCACGATGACCTCATCCAAATTGTGTGTACCTGGTGGTACACACATTTTATAAAGCTCCGTTTGTTAACAAAATAATGCCGATACTGAATGTTTTAATTGATATCTACTTATATTTGCTCCGTAGTATTTTGACTGCTTCAAACTTGGCGCGGGGCATTTCGTCATAACATAAGTATAACGAGTACATTATAGTGCTCAGTAGTTTTGGCTGCACCGCATATTTAAAATGTCTTGAAAAAACCTGCTGCAAAAGTCACTTCGTTCGACAGCTCAGACATCGTCTCACCAAAATCAAAGGGGACGTCGAAATTTCCCGTTATTGTTTGTTGTATTTATTTTATGACGGAACCTGGCAGAATTAAAGCGAGGGCTAGGCAATTAGCACAGTCCTCAGATGCTGAGTCGTCGAACCTTTTGACATGCTTTTTATTACTTTTTCCAAAACTTTTTATATCTTTTTTCTGTTCTTTGTCATTGTGTTTTCTTTATTAAGAAGTAATAGGTATGTAATTATCTATATTTGTTGGTAATTATGTGTCCTGATGTCAAATAAAACCGATTTTATTTTTTATACAGGTTTAATTGCCCCAGGGTAACGCGCATTACGGAAAGGAGTAGATGGCAAGTTGTTGGAACTTGTTTCGTCATACCTCAACTATAGAATTTAGAAAGTAGATAAAAATAGTAACTTCTGTGGTACTCTGGTAAAATGGGTGTTCCGCAGGGACTTGAACCTATCTTATTTCTCTTTTTTTTGTTAGCCTCGCACTAGGGAAACCCTGTGTCGCGAGTGCCATGGACACACACATAGACAACCACAAATTACACCCCAACTCAAGAGCGCTATAAATTTAGGCCATACCAATATTTCTCCTAGTGTAAAATGGACTAGTCCAATCATAAAAATAAATGGAGAAAAGTTATCCTTGTTAAAAAAACAGTTTTCTTGGGAGACCTTAGATAATAAAGTGCAATGGTTTCCTCTTATATCTTCCCTGGCCAGCAGATTAAGCTCCGCTGCATACGCACCCCGCAGACTACGTAAGCTTACCGCTGTTGGTACTGCTAGACAACTTTAGTTTACTGGATTTCCATGGTATAATGTACTACAGGATTCCCATGTGGGCTAAAACGGCAGATATACAAACCATATGTGTGCTGCAAAAACGAGCGATTCGTTCCGTGTACCGTTTAGGTTCTAGGGTTTCTCTCAGAGAAAAGTCAAGGAGATTGGTATCTTGACTGTGGCATCACAGTACATTTACTCAAACATTTTGTAGGTGTACCCGTAAAATATACACAATTTCATTAACAATGATGATGTTTTCAAGTGGAAGTTTATTTTACCTTTGGAACAAATGAACTCTATATCTTTGACTTTGTTGAGAAGATCGTTTTTTTTAGGTTTATCAGCAACTCAACGTTCAGTTCTCTCTTCACAACTTTTTACGACTGCTTTTCTTGGGTAGGTATTAGTTGCATTCACATTCGGTGACTTTCAGGATGTAGATAAGTTTTATCGTTCAAAGAGAGTCCATTCGCAGTACAAAGGTATCTGTACCATATTGTCCCTCAGTACCTACCATGTTGGGATTCCCTTCTTGGCGTGATTATTATGACTTTTTGTTAGTACAGCGACTTGGCATGGTAAGCAAAAAAAAATAAGGCGTATTGTACCACACAATTTGTTTGTAATTAAATTAAATTTTTATTAACTTTACACATATGAATGAAGTTAACAATCATTTTGTAGTAAATTTTGGACTAATCTAATGCTGTAAGAGTATTTTGTCGTTAACTGAGTATGTTATATCATTATCACATCTTTTGCCACATAGGTATGTTATAGCACCATTTTAAATGTAAATCTCTAAATTATAGCAAAACAACCAAGTAACGACGCAAAAACAAGGGAGTTGTAAGTTTCTGTCTGTCTATGGCATTGTAGTCCAAAGCGGGTGGACCGACCTCAAAGCGGTTTTTTTATTTGAAGGCTAATTTTATCGGGAATGTTCTTTACTGTGTTTGATAAAGACCTGTTCAGCTGTTGACATCATCAGTCTTTTCTCAGTTAGTCTAGGAATCTCAGACTTGTGCGACCGGCTTGAAATTTGGTTTGGTTATACAATGATATGGTAATCTTTGTTCTGTTAACCGTTGAACTGATGCTGCAACCAGGGCAGTCTGCAGACGACTCAAGTCCTCAACTAGGTACAGTAGAAATGTCGTGAATGGGCTTTTTAAATTGGTTCTGACGAGTTGTTAGCTTACGAATGGTGACTTTATCGAGTTTTTGCAGGACACACAAGTTTTAATTTAACGTTTTTTTAATGTAAATTAGGAGTTAAAGGCAAGTTTTAGAGAAGAAAATTCATCACGGTGGCAAAGGTTTCTCGGATTACCACGAAAAGCTAAATGTTGTTTTCACTCCAAGTATAGGTTTCTTGTATTGAAGAAGTAAAATTACTTTTTATTTCCCAACCACTAACGACAATGACTTTTGAATTTCCACTTTTGAATCCTGATTCAAAATAAAATATTGTCAAGCCAGGG